ATAAGATTGTTAAAAAGTGGAAGATAATATGGTTATCAAGATACGGATCAATTTGTTTTTGATATTACCGATAAAGCTAAACAAGAGCATTTAATTAAGATTAAGAATCAATAATATTGTGATGATTGTAAGGTTCAATTTGTGGCTATGTGTGGCAAGATAAATCTAGAAAGGTATTGTTCCTTTTATATTAGCTTTGATCTTGGAGGTTAGGGATTAAGTGAAGTATATCGATGCAACTTCATAGTTATTGTAACATCCGATAAATTCAATTGTCAAACTCTTAAGTTTGTAAATTTTAATGTTGAAAATTAGGTTACGGGTTTACTTGAGCTAGAGTACAATCATTATATAGATAAACTATGATTAGTTAATAGAGATTTTGTGCTTGGATGTAGAAAGTCAATGGTTTAAAATTTTTTAAGCTATCAACACCACCGGATGGGCATTTTTGTGCAAATAATAGAGTACTCTTGTATAGTTCTTAATACCTTGTACTTGTGGTTGAGACTAAAGAAAGGGTGACCAACTTTTTAATAGTCAATTTTGATCTCATATGAGGTAAGTTTCATTTTGTAAGCTAGATAGATCTCATATGGTTACTTAAAGTAAATAACATAGTTACTAATTAGCTTCTTGAAGTTAACTATTTGCTAAATGGGTTTGTTGACGAGCAGCTCAATGGAACCCATGGCTCTTCAAACTCTAACTTTAGAGCCGGAGAAGTTAATCAATGATTACAATGAGGATAATTTTGGTAAAATTGGTCATGTGAGTGAAGCAATATGGGAGTTAGATGCAAATGAGTCATAAACCAATCAGAATGGTATTGAGAAGTCTAAAAGGCTGAGAAATTTTTTAGTTCCATTGTTTGATATTAATGAATGTAATGCTTCGATAAACACAATAGTAGAGCTCGATAAGGGTGAGTGGCAGGTAAATCATACACTTACCAAGCTTGTCATTCTTAAGGCTTCTATTAAGGTGCCTAGATGTAATGAAGTAATTAAAGTTCAAGGGTAGCTTCTTATGACATTAGAAAATCCTGTAGTTTCGATCGCTATCCTTGATAATAAAATGATGAAAAGGGATATTTTCCTCATCATGACCTTGAGGACAAGGTCTCTTGAGTAAGGGGTACCGATGCAAGTTAGAGAGAAATGGGTTCTAAGGTTGTAGGTTGCGGTTCCTAGAGGGAATTAGTAGAGAATTATGTAGAAAATGTGACTTAGCAATAAAGACATGTGGATGACACATAGGATGAAATAAAAAGAATGTTAAACACGTGTGAGTTGTTAAAATGGTGAGGTGGGTGTTTTATTTGTTAGTCGGGATTGTTGTTAGCCTAACCGTTAGCATAACAATTTTAATAGTATTAAGAAAAGAAGAGAGAAGCTTAGAGAATCATTCTGGAAAGTGGTTATTCTCTCTATAATTTCTCTCTATATTTTTTCTCTTCTTCTTTTTCTTCTTTTCCTTTTTCTTATTCTCGTGTTTTCTTGTAAACTTGCATTGTGGATTTGTAGTGTTGATTCGGTTCTTGAATAAAAGTTTTTTTTATTCAATTCAATTACTAGAATCTTACAAATTTTCTTTAATTCTTCACTCGTGGAACAAGGAATTACATCAATTGGTAATGGAGCAATTCTTGGCACTTATCGAATGTTGAATTTTTGTATCAATTAGAGCATTTACATAAATTGGTATTAATGGCGAAACCCTAGTTAGGTATTTCACCACTTTTGAGTTAAATGAGAGAAGTTATGTTAATAATCTTTATTTTTGGTCTAATGGTGAATATCATGGAGAAATCGAGTTGCAAGAAACCATTTTGGACCCAAATCATTGTAACCGATGATGTTGGTGGAGCAATCCTTTTCTACTTGGAAGATAAAGAAACAAAAGAAAGTAAGGAGTCATTAATAGCAGAGGCCAAAGAATTAGATTTCCTCAAGGAGACAATAATGAAGGTAGTGGTGTTCATTATTTGGTGAAAACCAAATTGAACCGTACTTGAAATATCAATTTCGATTTAGTTTTTTTAGAAATTAAAAAAAACTGAAATAATTTTGGTTTTCGAGTTCGGGTTAAGTTTTTTTTTAAAAAAAAAATCGATTAACCAAAAAATTAAAAAAAAAAATATATATATATATATATATATATATATATATATATATATATATATATATATATATATATATATATATATATATATAATCATATCACTTAGTGCACCCCCAAATTGAAAAACCCTTCTCCCCCATATGCATTTCCTCCTACAACTTATGTATATGCTCTCTTTATCTCTACTACAAGTCCGGATGCATACAAAATAGCAAAGAGATTGGTAGATTTTCTATCATCTCCAATTTAAGCCTTCTTGAGTAGATAATTTATTATTTGTTCATCTATTAATGCATTTGCTATTTTTTTTATGCAACGTAGTTTCCTAGCTAGTAGTCAACAAAGCAGGAAAAAACCCACTCTAAACGGATATTTCAAAAACTTTAATAGAATTACCTATTTGTAAATAAAATAAAACGAGTAAAAACCAAATTATCGAACACCAAAATTTAAATATTTCGAAACCGAACCAAAAAAACTAAATAACATTTTGATTTGGTTTTGGCTATTTTTTTAAAAAAATTAGTCAATCGAAAACCACTCAAAATATTTTGAAACCAAACTCGAATAATTGAACAAACACCTCTAAATGGAGGAGTCAATTCACAACATTCAAGAAAGACTTTAATAGAATCTTGAACTCTTGAAGAAGCCTTGAGTCTTGGAGAATGAGGATACTCTTGAAAACAAGGTTCTTGAGTCTTCAAGTACTTCCACTCATCAAGAATTAGGTCAAAATAATTGGGTATTACCTATAACTTTTGATTTGATTAATTGTGTTGTGTTTGATGAAATTGGTGATAAAGATGATCAATGATCTGAATTCTTTGCTAAAAATCATAACTTGAATGGGTTTAATAGAACAAACACCTCTAAATGGAGGAGTCAATTCACAACATTCAAGAAAGACTTTAATAGAATCTTGAACTCTTGAAGAAGCCTTGAGTTTTGGAGAATAAGGACACTCTTGAAAATAAGGTTCTTGAGTCTTCAAGTACTTCCACTCATCAAGAATTAGGTCAAAATAATTTGGTATTACCTATAACTTTTGATTTGATTAATTGTGTGGGGTTTGATGAGATAGGTGATAACGATGATCAATGCTCCGAATTCTTTGCTAAAAATCATAACTTGAATGGGTTTTCATTAAGAACTACATACATTGGGTTTGAAATTCAGTTTAAGAAATACTTAGAAAATAAACTATCCGTAAAGAATAAATTTGTTGAAAGTATGTTGCTACAATTTTCAAAAAGTGGAAGATAATGTGGTTAATCAAGATAAGGATCAATTTGTTTTTGATATTACCGATAAAGCTAAACGAGAACATTTAATTGAGATTAAGAATCAACAATATTATGATGATTGTGGGGTTCAATTTGTGATATTGTATGGGAAGACAAATCTAGAAAAATATTGTGCTTTTATGTTAGCTTTGATCCTAGAGATTAGGGATTAAGTGAAATATGTCAATGCAACTTCATAGTTATTGTAGCATCTCGATAAATTCAATTGTCAAACTCTTAAGTTTGTAAATTTTAATGCTGAAAATTGGGTTACGGAGTTTACTTGAGCTAGAGTACAATCGGTATGTAGATAAACCAAGGTTAGTTAGTAGAGATTTTATGCTTGGATATAAAAAGTCAATGGTATATAACTTTTCAAGCTATCGGTACCATAAGATGGGCATTTTTGTGCAAATAACATATTACTTACGTGTGGTTGTTAGAAACTAAAAAAAGGGTGACCAACTTTCTAATAGTCAATTTTGATCTCATATGAGGTGAGTTTCATTTTGTAAGCTGAATAGATCTCATATGGTTACTTAAAGTAAAGAACATAGTTGCTATTCAGCCTTCTGAAGTGGACTATTTACCAAATAGGTTCATTGATAGCTCCATGGAACCTACGGCTCTTCAAACTTCAACTTTAGAGCAAGAGAAGTCAATTATTGACTGCAAGGAGGACAGCTTTGGTAAAGTTGGTTGTATGAGTGAAGCAATATGGGAGTTGGTTGCAAATGAGTCTTAAACTAGTCAAAATGGTATTAAGAAGTTTAAAAAGCTAAGAAATTTTTAAGTTTCATTGTCCGATATTGATGGATATGATGCTTCGATAGACAAAAGAGCGAGCTTGATAAGGATAAATGGAGGCGAGATGGTACATTTACCAAGCTTTTAGTTCTAGAGGCTTCGTTGGGGTGTCCGGATGCATCGAGGTAATTGAAGTTCAAGGGCAACTTCCTATGACATTAGACAATCCCGTGGTTTTCGTCGCTATCCTTGATCATAAAATGATGAAGCGGGATGTTTTCCTCACCATGATCTTGAGGTAGTTTAATGATTTCATTAGTATTAAGGAGAGAAGAGAGAAGCTTAGAGAATCATTCTTGAAAAGTGGTTATTCTCTCTATAATTTCTCTCTCGCACTCGTTTTTGTTCTCCTTATTCTATGTTTTCTTGTAAACTTGCATAGTTGATTTGTAGGGTTGATGCAGTTCTTGAATAAAAGTTTTGTATTCATTTCAATTACTAGAATCTTGCAAATTTTCTTTAATTCTTCACTATGGAATTGGGAATTGTATCAATCAACCTTGAAGAATTTAGGAATTATTATCTGTCCATTATTATTATTATTATTATTATTTGCGTTCTAGAATCTTTGCAAACTCATCTAAGCAACATTTGGAAGATTCACAGTCTTCATAAAAAATAATGACAAAAAACTTATTCTTCAGACTTGAATTGCTTTCACAAGTTATGGGGAAATTTCTTTACCTCTCGAGCTTATTAGCTATGAAAGGTTGGATTTGTTTCTGCTTCAAAGCATCATAGAGGTAGTTTTATAGGTGAAGTTGGCTTAAATTGAAACAAAAATCAAGGAGTATCCTGTTAATACAGAGAGCCAAATGTAATACTAGATGAGTTATTAAACTTGGCCCAATTAACGGCAAACCCTAAACTGTTTATAAAGGTTTGGTTGGAAATTAGCAGCACAATTATATATCGGACTCTTATAAAACTACTAGTATTTCAAATTATGGAAATTCTAGCAGGACTAGCAGATCATTGGATTCAAAAGTTGGCTGAAAGCTTGCTTTTATATATTCTTGTACAAATATATTACAATACGCCATGTGAAAAAAAAAATTAAAAAATTAAAAAATAGGCCTCAGGTTTATGAAGATTCACCTGAATTTTCAATTGCATATCTGCTAGTAGTTCTTTATGATCCAATTTGAAGCACTTTGCAAAGTTCAACTCCGGGAAATTGCTTAGATTGAACCTCGATAAGGTTTCAAGTGATTCCCAGTCATTTACTTCTAGAGCTGCAAGTGACAGTGGAAGTTCTGGTAGCTTTTTGATAACTGTTCCACTTAAATCAAGATGTTTCAAACATTTTAAAGATATAGTTGATGAGGGTAGCTCTTGAATAGCTGTTCCACCTAAATCAAGATGTGTCAAAGATTTCAGTTGTACAATTGATGAGGATAGCTCTTTAATAGCTGTTACACCTAACTTAAGTTGTGTAAAAAATTTCAGATGTTTAATTGATGAAGGTAGCTCTTGAATAGCTGTTGGATCTAACTCAAAACGTCTCAAGGATTCCATGAGCTCCATGATTTCTGGGAAGTGCTCAAGTTTTGAGCAACTTGATAGACCATGAATTTCAAGGGATTTCAGTTTACAGATGCTGGTGGGAAGACTAGAAAGCTGTTTGCAGTTAGTCATATACAATCTAACAAGTGCTGTGAGAAACTCAATTGATGAAGGCACCTCTTCAATTGCAGTCCCTTGCAAATATAGATATTTTATTTTCCCTGAAATCTCCAGAAAGTTCGTAATATTTGAGCAGTATTGTAGATCAACCTTTCTAAGAACTGCTGAATTTCCTGAAATCGCAGGACAGAATCTGACATTGTTGCTCAAGAATTCTCAAAACTTTCGAACCAATACTGCTTGGAAGACGAGTAAGATTGTCACAATAACTGAGCTGAAGGACCTCCAGCTTGTTGAGAAATTGAATAGAGGAGTGTACATCTATTAAACTTTTACAAAATTTCAGATTTATACTCTCTATATTTTTGGCCTTTGAAATATCTGGGATTTCAAGCAAATATGGGGAGCCACTGAGATCAATACGTCTTAGATGCACAAGGTTCTGTCATAACAAAACAAGGGAAAAAAGCACAACAAAAGATGGAGCATCTTAACTTTATAATTCATATATTGATTTGTATACAACAAATAGATCATACCTGTACTCCTGTCCAAAACCTTTCAATCTTGCTACCAGGGAAAATAAGCTCAACAATGTTTTCAGCACAAAAATTTTGTGGCAAGGTTTTCAAAGGGAATCCATCCCAATGGAGATATCTCAGCTTATCAGAAAGATAGTCAAGACCAGAATGAGGCAGGTGCACTTTATCTTTGTTGTCCATTAAGAAAATATCATCCCAAGAAAAATTATCATAAAATTTGAGCAATCTAAGACAATCCATCCCTGAACAGGCATCAGATTTTAAGTGCATTTCGCGTGATTCAGACATCTCCAAGCATATGCCTTCAATTGCCTCAGTTCCCTAAAATCAATGGTAGAGAATAAACAAAAAATATATTCTTTTCAGACCACTTGAAAATTCTTCTTTTTAATAAATGTGTAACATGCTGAAACATCACAGGAGGGAAAAGAAGAAAAGTTGATGACTTTAGCTTTAACCTTCTTTTTCACCAATGCATGATAGACGTCCTCAGGATCACATAATCTGCTACGTTTGCCTGGAATTTGAGATTCTTCACAAAAAATGCTAAAAGCCATATCTTCTAGTGAATCATGCATCTTGACAGTGCAACCAGGTACTGTTATGAGAGACTTATCAATAAGAATGCTTATATCGGAATGAGCAGATGCGTAACAACCATCTAAAATCTTTGTAACGTGGTCCCTGTTTGCCCCATTGAAAAAGAATGCAATATCAAGAAATATCTCTTGTTGTTCATCATCAAGCCCATCATAACTAATTCTCAACACATTTTGAATTTCACAATTAGAAACTTTCCTTAACTTATTCAACACACTATGCCATTCCTCTTTGCTTCTACCATTGAGAGCAGAACCCAAAACTATAAGAGCCAAAGGATTTCCTTGTGCATAATCCACTATCTTTTCTACCAACTCTCTTCGATCAATTGTGGGGTTGTAATTCTTCAAGGCTTTCAAGCTCAAGAGTTGAAGAGCTTCATGGTGGTTCAGTCTCAACATCATAAATTTCACCCAACACATTCCTAAGCACTTCCTTATCCCTACTTGTTACAAGAATTTTGCTTCCCGGACCAAATGAATCGTGCTGCGCAGGTAACAATTCTTCCAATTGCCTCAAACCATCCACATCGTCAAGAACGATAAGGACCTTCTTACAGCGAAGTCTGTCCATTAAAAAAGCATTTCCGAAACTCAATTGACCCATATTAAGAATCTCTTGGTCTAGTAGTTGTGAAAGGATATTTCTTTGCAAATCCACCATTGCATGTCTTTTTGATTCTTCCCTAACATTTGCAACAAAGTGGAACCCTTCAAATTGAGCACAAACATTATCATATACCGCTCCAGCAATAGTTGTCTTACCTATACCACCCATTCCCCATATCCCTACAATCCAAGTATCGTGTGACTCCATATTCAACAAAGATTCAACTTTCTTAATGCGTGCATCAATTCCAACTAGACTCATATGCTGAGTACTCAGAGATGTTTTATACAATTTGCTCAAAATATCTTTAACAATGTCCTCCACAAATTCAGACGCTGACCTAATAAACATGGAAGACATAGTTGTTTTTAGTTGAAGTAAACCAGAACAGAATATCAGGCACTCCACAGCAACATCAATACATACACCTATGCAAAGATCATCATTTCCAAAGCGACTAAGGATATTGTTATTGGTAATTGATAAGGAAACATGAATTAAAGTAAATAAACACTATTAAAAACAATTAATCAGATTAAGATGAAAATATTCTTCAATCAATTCTGTTAAATTACATGGAAATGGAATAGCCAAAAATACAGGTTTTTCAATAAATGAAAACCCAGAATGAAATTCAAGAAAGCAGCAACTTACTTAATTTTCTCTGAATCCCAGCTGCTTCCTCCATAGCCGCTCTCCAGTTCCACACTTTGTCCATCTTCTCCTTCAATAACTGTTCATGCCTAGCAAATGCATCTGCAAAACTTCCAACTTGGTTCCTCACATGAGTTGGATCAACCCCATAGACCACGGGTATAACCATCTGGCCTTTAGTTTTCTTGCATTCAAGAATCTTTGCAAGTTCCTCCAAGCACCATTTGGAAGATGCATAGTTCTCAGAGAAAACAACCACAGAAAACTTGGATTCTTCAATTGCTTTCAAAAGCGATGGAGAAATTTCTTCCCCTCTGTTAAGTTCATAGCCTATGAAGGTCAAAAATTGTTTCCGCTTCAAAGCAGCACAAAGGTGGCTGGTAAAACTAAGACGAGTGTCCTCTCCTCGAAAACTAAGGAAGACGTCGTATTTTTCTTGAGGATTGGTTGTTGAAGACGAAGAAGAAGCCATGCGAAAAAAAATTACCTTTCCTTGTGACTAAGTAAGAATATTTTGTGAAGAAAGAATGAACTGGGGCTTTCAACCGCGTTTTTTGAGCATTACCTTCGAATGTTCCTTTCATCAGATTTTAAAAGATTAAATCGTAAATTAATCTATTTAGTTTTACAAAAGGAATTAAATAGTTTTTTTTTTAATTTTAAAACTAATTAATACTCTTTTTTTCATTTTAAATTTTTTCAATTTTTTAAGAAATTGAAAAAAAAGAGAAGTAAATAATTTAAAAAATGGATAAAAAACAATTTTAAAATAAAATAATATTGAATTAAGTATAATCAATATTGATTAAGAGACTAATTAATTAATTTTCAAAAATAAATAAACTATTTAATTTTCTTTGTAAAACTAAATGGATTGACTTATAATTTACTTTTCAAGAGAAATAAATTTTATTTTATTTTTTGTTACAATGAAAATTTTCATATCAATAACTTTTAAAGGATGGGAAGATACTAATGTTAATGCTAGTTAAACTAAAGGAGGGGAGGCCCTTGATCAACCAAAGAAAATTTTATGGAATGGAAATTTTTTTGGACAAATCTCAAATATATCTCCAAATTATTAGGATAGTATAATTTTATATTTAATTTTTTTATATTAATTTTATCTTTAAATTATTTAATTTCTCAATTAATGAATTATGTTAGAACACTTGAAAAAATTAATTTTTTTACAAAATAAAAATGTTATTAAACAAATACAATTTAGACAGAAATACATATAAAAACTCTTAAAAATAGATGAAATTCCTTAATTGATAATTTTTGAAAGATTGAAAGTAGAATTGATATAAAAATTATTTGATGAAAAAATTAGGACTAAAAATTATTTGATGACAAAATTAAGATAAGTGCACAATTAAAAGTTATTTTTAAATCTAAAAGAGTTTACTTGAAAACAAAAAACTCTAATTGTTTAAATAAGTAATTTCGAATTTGAATTTTTGTGTATATAAAAAAACTTTTTAAGTAGACTGTTTCTATTTTATATATTTGACATAATAATCATGAATTAATATGAGTTTTTTAGTTTGAGATACTTTTAAGATATAAAGAAGAAGAAGAAGAAGTTATTTTTGAGGTTTGGCCGCTTTTTTATTATTATTATAATTCAGCTATCCAAAGATGTTATAAATGTGATGTATTTGAAATTGCCGAAATTTTAGGGTAAGCTATATTTTTTACTTCACATATTCATAAATGTTTCAACGCTATCCCTATGGTTTAAGCTTTTCTAATATTGGTCCTATATTCTTAAATAGTTTCGATTTCACCCTTTTTTACTAACAAAAAGCTTACTCTTGTTCACTTTTTATTTTATTTTTTCTTATTTTGTAATATTATGATCTCAATTAAAAAACTATATATATATATATAATTGTTAAACGACTAGGGGCAAAATTGAAACTTTCTAGAAAATTGAAAGGGTAAAATTTCAAAAATTTAAATTATAAGGGAAAAGGTGGAACTTTGTGGATTTATAGGAATAAAAATGAATTTTACCGAAAAAATATTTAGGGAAAGGGTTAGGTCATGATGTGCGTATAGGAGTCAAATTTTGATTGGTTAAAAATTATATATGCTACCATTGTGTGTGTATGCATTTTATTCATGTTAGTCTTGTATTGTATGATGGTGAGTTTTTATATATTTCTAATCACAATAAAAAAAGATTATTAGGAAACACAAGTTCATGAATTGCACATTTTTTTGAGTAACTAACGTTGAGAAAATATTACAATCAAGAATTAAATTAAGCTAGTATCTGTATGAAATTGTTTAAGGTTGTGTTTGGTATAATTAAGCTGAAAATTTTAGAAGAAGGTATTAAAAGGTTAGATTTAAAAGTTAAGAGTATAAAAAGTTTGGAGGTGAATCGAAGATGTTCGGTAGAATTCGAAAAAATTATGGATAATAGTGAGATTAAATAAAACTACGAAAAGCATTGAATAATATATATTTGTGGTTCTAATAGTGAGACTCAAAGTAAAAAAGGGAAATTGACAAAAAAAAAAAAAAAAGAAGAAAAAGAAAAACACAAAATTCAAAGTTCTTCTTTCTTGAAAAATCCTTCATTCCACACTTTGCAGTTAACATTGAACTTCTATTTGGAGGTTAAATGTTAGCTTAAAATCTTCTCCTCCTCCCAAAGAGTATACCAAACATGGATAAAAACAGTGATTTTTTTTTTTTTCCCTAAGAGATCTAACATATGCGTACATGTTTGTGAGTAGAAATCCACTTGTACATAGTGAAACTTTTACATTATTTATAAATCATGGATTACTATAGTTCGAGTGATCGATACGAGATGATAAGTTTTCAATTTGCTCACGTCTCCTTAATTAAGTTAGATTTACTCTCTCTAAATTATGATTATAATATCATTATTCTTTTCTTTTTAAGTTTTCTCTTCTTATTTTTCTTTTATTTTATTTCCTCTTTCACGAGTAATTGTAATTTGATGTTTTCATACAATCAAATCTAACCTCAAAATTAAAAAGCTAACTAAAGATATGAATGTGTTTATGCTAATTGTTTATCAATATCATAATAGAAATATTATTTGCATTTATGTACTCATTGCTTGGATAATTGTTCTAAGGTGTTACAAAACAATATTGTTTTGTTTGAAAAAATATAACCAAAGTCATATTAGTAGGATTATCATCCAACCATATAAGAGAATTCCTTACTATTTATACCTCCGTAGAGAGACAATGATGAAGATGGCTACTAAATAAATAAATAGAGGAGTTGGGGAAAAAAATAAAAGAGGAGAATCAAAGATTTAGAAAAAAAGAAAAAGAAAAATGAAAGCACTAGTAATGAAAATAAGATAGTGAATTTATAAATTAAAGTAAGAGGGTAAATAAAATAACTTAATTAAAGAAAAAAAATATAATCCATTAAAAAGTTGTTTCGTTGCCAACTGTTGGATATGAAAGAAATCAATGTCTACCATCTACTTTGATTGATGTATTTTTTCAAGATGGGAAAAAAGAGACGAGAAAAAGAAAGTATCTATTTGAGTGGGAGAGAGACATTGCAATTTTTGTAGCTAATTAGGTATGATTAGAGGGAGAAAAAAAAACCAGTATTTACGAGTAATAGATATATATTATTATTTAAAACCTAAGGATATCTTTTAAACAAAAAAAAAAAGAACACTTTTTTTTATTCTTAAATATCCATTCTCTATCAAACCTAAATCCATTATATAATAAAAACTTAGAAAAAAATAATTCTCATTTCCTATTTGTATTTACATTCCATGCTATTTCAAGATATCAAGCACGTCAATATCAAAAAAATGAAATGTGGATTTCCATTCTTAGTGCTTTATTCTTGGTTACCAAACATCCCTTTCGGATATTATTTTAAGTTTTAACATTTTTGAAACTTGTTAAGTAGTAAATTATAGGCAATAGTCGATAGCCAAAAATTAAAGCGAGTCGATAGATCCGTAGGTTGATAAATTTACTCTTCGATATTATTTTGTTGCTCGTAACTCATGCTTATGGTTTCAAGAATTGATTTTTTATGTGAATATCATATCTAGAGAGAGAATCTCAATCTGTAAATATCTTTCCTCATCAATGAATGAAAGTTGTTTTTAAACGTTTGAGTATTGTTTTCGGTATTTAGTACCTATTCTCATCCACTATATTATTATGATTATAGTTTGGAGTACGTTTGGACCTAGTTTGATGCGAAATCGGCCAATGATCAAAACATATTGTTACAAGCCATGACCTATGAGTGATTTTTCTCAAAAAAGTAGTTTAGGCCCTCAAAATCAGCCTTCTTGGTTTTTCAAGAAATACGAGCCAATTAGTTTTAGAATATGTTGAACGAGTGTGGGAGCAATAAAAATTGAAGAAAAACTTTAGATCCGAGCTTTGAGTCGTTTTGACCTAGATCGATGTGAAACGTGCTAACGATCAAAACTCATTACTATAAGCCATGGCCTATGAGTGATTTTGGTAAAAAAACATAGTTTAGGCCCTTAAAGTCAGCATTCGATCGTTTTTCTTTAGTTTGTATTGCTCTCACACCATTCGACGTATTCCAAATCGACTTGGTGTGCATCTTTTTAAAAAATCATGAATGCTGATTTTAAGGGTCTAAACTATAAATTTTTACCAAAATCACGCATAGGTCGTGGCTTATTATAATGAGTCTTAATCATTGGCTTGTTTCGCATCGAACAACGTCCAAAAAGCTCAAAATTGAGTTGATAATTTTGCTTCAATTTTTATCGCTTTCACACCGTTCTATGTATTCCAAAACTAGTTGGCTCGTGTCTTCTTGAAAAATCATGAAGTTGGATTTTGAGTGCTTAAACTACATTTTTTTACAAAAATCACTCATAGGGCATGGCTTATAGCAATGAGTTTTGATCGTTGGCCCATTTCGCATCGAACTAGGTCCAAACAACTCCGAACTCGGACCAATAGTTTTTCTTCGGCTTTTATCACTCTTATATCATTCCACGTATTCCAAAACCCGTTCGCCCGAACCTTCTTGAAAAACCTTGAATGCTGATTTTGGGAGCCTAAACTACATTTTTTTACTAAAATCACTCATAGGTCGTGGCTTATAAAAATGAGTTTTAATTATGGCATGTTTTGTATTGAACTAGGTCCAAACGACTCAAAACTCGGATCGACAGCTTTTCTTTAGTTTTTATCGCTCTCACACTCGTTCAAGATATTCTAAAACCAATTGGCCCGTATCTTCTTAAAAAACATGAAAGCTGATTTTAGGACCTAAACTACATTTTTTACGAAAATCACTCATTGGTCATGGCTTATAGCAATGAGTTTTGATCATTGGCACGTTTCACATTAAACTAGGTCCAAACAGACTCAAAACTAGGCCGATAGTTATTCTTCGGCTTTAATCGCTCTCTTACCGTTCGACGTATTCCAAAACCAGGTTGGCCCGTAT